AAAATAGAAAGAAAAGAAAATAGAAAGTACAAAAATAGAAAGAAAAGAAAATAGAAAGTACAAGAATAGAAAGAAAAACTTTCTAAATCAATCCTTCCACRAWCCTMGGAATATATACAATTCTATTTTTACACAACTACCAAATATAGATCTGCACCAGTAACCCCATGTTTTCCAACAGTGTTTCAGAATTACTTTGGGTTAGATCCTTCTCGAGTGAGATTGGGATAGATGCAAAGGAGCCCATGATGTTATATTGTGACAACCAAGCTAATATTGCCCACAATCCAATTCAGCATGGCAGGATAAAGTACATTGAGGTTGATAAACTGTTCATAAGAGAAAGGGTGACAATCAGAGACGTCTTTTGCCTTATGTCTCCTCTGAGTTACACTTAGCTGATGTCTTCACCAAAGGGGTTGCAAAGAATAAGCTTGAACATGACTTGTGCAAGTTGAGAATGTGTGACATTTACTCCAAACTTGAGGGGGAGTGTTGAGGATTTTGTGCAGATTTGTTAGTTGTTTTTGTTTATTATTTATTTAGATAATAAGTGGGGACCACAACACTCTTGTTGGGACCCATTGGAGTAATGTTTCTAAGTTTTTTATGCAGTTTTATGTGTTAGCCGCCCTATAAGGGCATATTAGTCATTGTACTTAGTTTTTATTTAAGTATAAATACCAATGGGAGAGGGCGGCCATATCTGATTTTCTCTCTCCTTTCTCAACTTCTTCTCTCCTCTTCCTCTTCCACAAGAAACTCTTCTTTTCTTTGTAAATTTTTGATTTAGTAGATTTCTACTGGAAATGAAAAGCAGAATACTTTTGGCATGCTTCTATTGCATTGTAAAATGAACTTTACTAGCTAAAGTATGGTTTTCATTAATTGATGCTTTTTCTGTTTTGCACATTTTAGTTTGAAGAATTCATCTTCATATGTGCTACTATTTTTTAGTTCATGTGCCATAATTTTAGTGATGCATCATTTTACTATTTTGGTGTGGGATAATAGACATTTTACACATCCATAGAGTGTAGACACCTTGAAGGAAATATTTAAGTCCTCTAGTTTGTCAAAAAGAGTCCTGTTTCGCCTAAAATCCCCAAGGTAACTTGCTTTTTGATTTTTGAGAACCAAAGCTAAGAAAGTAGCAATATCACTTGGGTTGATGATTGCTCTCTTAAAAAAATCAACAAAAATAGGCATGGCTTTAGGTTCGTGATTACCTTGGGGGATTGAGATAGGGAATGCAGATGAGACAGGATCATTAATGGGTTTGGCTCAGCCTGATCCGGTACCATTACTCTTTTGTTAACCAGGCATGGAATTAGGTTCGACGGAATTAACTGTCCCTCAAGAGCATCTCCAGATTGGTGATTGACCTTTAGTACTGAACTCCCAGTGGTATTCTCCTTATATTGCCCTAAGAAAAGTCTATCCTCTAATTTACACACACCACGCACTTGCTTTCTTAGTATTGAATCACACTCTCCCTACATTGTGGTTGACCAATGATCCCCCCTTAAAAGGTGTCATTTCATTTCTCATTGTGGTTGTTGGTTCCTGAACCATTCTTAACTTTAACATCTTTTTACAGCTTCTATTGTTGTAGGTATCGTTCTGTTAAAAGGGCATGCATGTCATCCTTGGAGAATTTGCAACTTCATTTAGAGGTCAAACTAAATTTTTGGAATGGTTGGCATTTTAAAGGTTTTCAAGCTGTTTGTAGTCTTTTAGCAAATTGGAAGTGTTGTTTCTTTTGGTTTGAAAGGCAGGATTTATTTATTTTTGGTCATTTTCTCTATTTTGTAGTACTTGGAAGAAGAGATGAGGCTTTAGTTTTCTGTTGGTTAGTGTACTTTTCCTTTGCAATACCATACTATTAGAACCATGAACAGAGGCTTATTTAGATGTCCAAAAGCAGGAATTGAACAAACCATTTGGTCTAGAACTTTAAATATTTGTATTTCCTGAACTGTAGATTTTCTAGCTTCATCTCTTTTATTGGCCCAAATTAAAAAGATCAAGAAGCTTGCTATCCAAGTACTGAACAAGTTAATAAAATACCCATACCAAGCTCCTTATTAGTTTTGCCATGCACTGGCAATAGAACCTATCTGCTATCTCATTCTGATGACAATATGACATACATTTCATTTGTCTTTTATCTAATTGGTATCTATTGTTTAATTATTTATTTTGATGGAACATTGGAAGCTTTACTGGAAGAGTGACTTGGGATAAATTTTCTATGGCTATCTTAAAAATCCACTATTCTAAGAACGCTCCTACTCATGCATGTCAATACTTTTCTGGAAATCCAGGGGCTAATTACAGAGGATCGTGCAAATATTGATCCAGAGGTTTTGCCATTTGCAAGAAAGATGAAAGAAGTTGGTTATCAAGGATTACGGGAAGGAGCAAGCTTGGTTGAAGTGGTATAGAGGCAATTGTTTTAAAAACTTACACACTACACATAATAAATGTTGCACTGATGACTATTCTTCCATATCATATATTTTAATGTGAGAAGTTTCTTTTAAGTTATAGCCTTATGGGTGAATATCGTTCTCTGGGACATCTAGGTTTGTTAATGTATTACTGAATCTTGCAACTTGGGATCTCTATGTTTGAGATGTATAGTTAGCTTTTGTTTCCTATGTTGTTCCAATGTTTTTTCTGTTTAATAAGTCCCATGTTGATTTCTTTTCTCTGCAATTCCTTTTTTGGAATTGTTGATGCCTTTGTATTTCCTCCATTTTTCTCATTCAATATTTTCTTGTTAATGACTTAAAAATGAACATCATTTTGCCTTGCTTTTGTTGGATTATGAATGACTAAATACAGCAAAAATGTTAGTAGAAGATTCTGATTTTGAGTTTGCGCATTCTTTAAATGAAGGGATGCCTTTTACCACTTGTCTGGTGCTCATGATTATTATGATCTTTAAATATAAACATTGGCCAGGACTTTTTTTTCTTTTTTTTATAACTAACAAGATATTTAAATAAAAAACAAGATAGTTTATTAAAGATCAAAATTTGAAGGGAAGATATGGGAGAGATCAAATCAGGAGAGAGATTAAGAGAGACAGAAACGGTCACCAAGTAAATCAAGAGAATCCAACAAAACTAGATCAAGACCTTGTGATACAATATTCATCTTATTTTGAAATTAGTATTTGGTTTAAGTGACAAGTCACACCCTAAGTTTAAAGCATAAACCATAGTGACTGCAATAAAATAAATTTCAAAACAGAGAAAAGTCTGCATTGTACTGGACACTGTAGAGAACTATACTGTTTTTATTTTATTTTATTTTTGGTGATATAAAAATTTAGTTGAAGGAAAGAAGGGAGACTTAAAGAAGAGTGGTGTAAGGTCCCTTCTAAGCTAAAAAATTGCCTACAAGCGGTCAATATTATGATACCTTTCTCAATATATATATATATGTGTGTGTGTGTGTGTGTGTGTGCGTGTGTGTGTGTATGTATGTATGTATGTATGTATATTATGATATAACATTTATTTCCTTGACAAGACACTGTATGCAAACTGCAAACAAATTGGCTAAAGCATCTTAGGACCCTAGTTTCATGGAGAATTGACTGTTCATCCTGGAAGCCAAAAACCTACCAACTCTAAGAACAAATTATAATTTTGAAGACCTCATTCTGATCAATGCAGCCTTGCCTTCTCCAGGCTTGGAGAGTGACACATCCTAAAGTGCTAACAAAAAGTCAATAGCTAAATTCATGTTTGTTGAACATTAATTTAACATGGGTAATGTAATGCACTGTTGGTGGTAAAAGAATATTTGTTACTTGTTTTAGAATTTAGAAACCATAGTAGAAGGAACAGAACCCGGTCAAATATTCAAAACCAGGTAGGTGAATTGATGAAATTGACATACTTCAATCAACTGAAAACCTCTAATTTTTAAGGACTTACTCACAGCTTTCTTGTTTGGTAAATCTGATGGATGTCTAAGGACTTACTATACCCTCAAAGTGGAAAATCTTGTAGATACATACATACGTAGGTGTCCTTGTTTGTTCAATGTGTAAGTGATACCAGTGTTTCTACTATTCTTGACAGTTGAGGTTGACATATTGAAATCAACTAGTAAATATGCACGTCGTTGCACATGTTTATTTCGGATAATATTAATAATTTCCATATCATTATTAGAACCATTTAAAAAGGATAAGTAATAAAAGCATGGTGTTCTAGTGTATTTAGATTTTATATTTCATTTTCATTGTAAATAAAGTTAATTCTTATTTATCATATTTACTTTTTTTAATATGATAAATATGTGATATTAGAGATGTGCACAAATTTTATAGGCAAAGTTTTGTGTTTTCCATATTTTTTATTTCTATCTATTTTTTGAGTTTTATTATATAATTATGACACCATGTGCTGGCCTATTTGACTTGAAAAAAAGCAACCTCATTTTTGGGTAACTTTAAATTTTTTATTCCATTTACATAATTAATTCTAAAAATAATTCTTGTTTATCGCACTTATAATTATGACACCATGTGCTGGCCTATTTGACTTGAAAAAAAGCAACCTCATTTTTATTCCATTTACATAATTAATTCTAAAAAGCAACCTCATTTTTGTGTTTCCATCTATTTTTAGTTATTATTTAATGATGACATCGATAGTTAACTCACTTACTCAAAGGATTGGGCCATTATGGTGCAAGTCAAGTAGGTTGGGCTGAATTTAAGCTTAACATAGGTCCAACCCTATGCATTGGGCCTAAGGCTTCAGACCAAAGTCAAGCCTAATCTATTCAACTTGGGCCCAACCTCCAGGCTGCGTTGAAATTTGATGCACTTGGGTTTGTCATAGACTTGGGTCTATCAATTAGCCCCATGACAAAATTTGACATACAATATATGTGTATAATTGTATTTACATGCATGTATGCAATATGTGCTATATATGCATTTATGATTGTATGTATATATTTAGGCTTGACTTTATCTACCTAAGGGATAGGCTTGGGCCTAACCAAAAAATAAGAAAGCCCAAACTTTTGAACCTAGGCCTAGGCCCAAGTTGATGACCAAAAATTGAAGCTAGCCTATTTAAAATTACGAGCTAGGTTGATTCGAGCTTGAGTTAAGCCCACCTAATTTTCCTCCTAATGGACCATTGACCATTAATTAGATGCAAAAGCAGTTTTCTTTTTAATTTAGTTTAGTTTTAATTCTATTTCTATTATTAATAAAAATAACTCTTATCTATCACACATATGTTTGCTTAATATGATGAATACATAATATTAAAGATGCACCCAAATGTCTTTTTACAAAATTTCTATGTTTTTAAAAATTTCTGTCTCTATCCTTTTTAAATTTTTTATTATTAATTTATGATATCATCAGTTGAATCATTGACCCACCACTTGAATAGGAAAATGGTTTCGTTTTTGGGTTAGTTTTAAATCTTATATTTCATTTCCATTGAATAAAAATACTTTTATTTATCATGCTTAATATTGTATGATATGATTAATAGATGTAGTGAAAATGGGCCAAATGGGCCTTGGTGACTTTATTTATTTTAAGTTATGTTTTAAGTTTATGTCCTTTTAGTTATGGGCCTCTTTTGTTTTGTTTTATTATTTCTTTAGTGTTGGCCGCCCCATTAAGGGCATCTGGGGAATTGTACTCAATTTAGAATTAAGAGAATAAAAGACAACTTAGGGGGCTAGAGAGAAAGGATTGAACTCTTCTCTTTTCTCTTCCCTTCTCTTGTTCTTCTATAAACCTCTATTGAAACCTTTCTTTCTTCTTCCTTTTCTATTCTTTTTCTATATTTTCTTTATTATTGTAGGTGTGTTTCACAACTTGGTATCAGAACAGGTTCTCACCTTCAACATCTTTCTCTTTTCTTAGCCTATACACAGTGTGTATGGAGAACTGATCGGATGATCAATCAACAACTTATGTAACCCAATTAGGAGGGTTTTTGGAGAGTTTTTGTGGAGTTTTTCATCCTTTGTTGAAGTCCAGGGCAAGTTCTTGGAGATTTTTCCCGAAAACCCTAGATAACTGGAGACACTTTGAAGTTGGTGCTTGGGGATCAAAGGGAAGCTCTTTGATTTCTATTAATGACAATTTGGGTTGGGCTGAGTATTGGAACCTCTGGTAGGAGGGATTGAAGTTTCTCTCCTTCTATCCTATTGGGTCCTGTGAAAGTTTGGAATAGGAAATCTAGCTTAGTAAAACCCTAATTTGATTTTTATTTACATCTGTTCACTCAATGGAGCAAGCTGGAGGAGAAACCAAATATCCCACAGATTTTGGGTTTGGACTTAGATGGCTAGTGGGGACTTTGTTGGGGGTAGTGACCACTGTGAAGTTGGATGGATCCAATTATTTAGCTTGGTCTCAATCAATTAAAATACATGTTTGTAGTAGAGGGAAATGGGGTTGCATTACTAGGAGTAAGAAGAAACCGGTGGAGGATGACCTTACGCTGAAAAGTGGATGCAAGAAAACTACATAGTAGTGGGTTGGTTAGTGAATTTTATGCAGCCACACATTAGTCAACACCACCTGTGGATGGAAATTACAAAAGAAGTGTGGGATAGTGTCATAGAGACCTATTCCCAAATGCTTAATGTTGCTCGAGCCTAAAAAATGAGGAATGATGTAAATAATCTAAGATAGGGAGAGAAATCTCTTTGGTAGGAGATTGATTGATGGGGATTGTTGTTTGGGGTTGTACTAAGGATGCAGAAACACATAGGAAGTTACTAGAGAGAAACCTGGTCTTTGGGTTCCTCACTAGACTCAACCCGAATTATGATATTGTGAGGCAAAATGTTTTGGCAAAGGATGAGGTAACTTTGTCTTAGGCTTATGCTATGGTGAGTAGTGAGGAGAGCATAAGTTTAGCCTGTAGAGCCGCAGGTTGATCACTATGCTAATGCTAGGATGAAGCCAAATGTCAATGTTGGAAAATGCACCCAGAGCTCATTCCTACCAGACTTAAGAAAGAAAATAGTGAAAAAAGGTTTGAGAATGGAAAAGGTGGAAATGCAAATTTAGCCACCTCCTCACAGAGTGAATGGAGACAGAGTGGTGAGAAGTCGGTGGGAGAGCAACTTGCAGCTACTAGAACTGAGTATGAGAAATATGGCCGAATAATCAATCACTTGGAGTCCACTACAACATCTACTTCATTAGAGACTATTCCTTCCTCTGCATATGCACATTCAGGTATTCGTGCCACTACAAATCATTCTTCTATTTCATATACTCATAAAATCCCTTCGATAATTAATTTTGGTGCCTCTGACCATATGGCCAATGCTTCACATTTAGGGGCCATTTGGTTAACAGGAATAGGGGTCTGGAATCGGAATCGGAATGGGCTATTCCGATTTCAACTGTTTGGTTGGACGGAATCGGAATCCCATTCCCATTCCTACTAGAATGGCATTCCCCCATTTGAGGGAATGGCCATTCCCTGCCCCTCCCTTGGGAATGAAATCCCATTCCTACTGATTTTAATTCCCATTCCCACTTTTGTCTGAACCAAACAGACTGAGAATGGATCATTCCAATTCCGATTCCGGATGATTTCGATTCCAATTCCGATTCCGATTTCGACTATGAACGAAACAGACCCTTATTCATCTCTTACCAACTCCTTTCTAGTCGGGAGAAGATATCCCTTGTTGATGGCTCCCTTTCCCCTATCATAGGAAAGGGAGACATTAAGACCTCACATTTCCTGACCTTATCATCTATTCTTCACGTACCTAAACTTAATACTGATTTGCTTTTATTTTGTAGTTTAACTAAATCCCTTAATTGCAGTGTGATCTTTTTCCCTTCATATCGTGTTTAGGACATGAAATCTTAGAAGGTGATTGGGAGTCACCATGAGGTGAATGGGATCTATCTGTTAGTCATGCCTGAGCAGAGACAAGTACAACCTTAGAGAATTGCATTTGTTTCAAAGTCCACTAGTCATATTATGTTATGTCATAGTCATTTGGGTCATTTGTCTTTCTCTTCATTGAGTCAATTGTTTCCAAAGCTATTTAAATGAATAAGTTTGTCAAGTCTACATTATGAATTTTGTGAGTTCTTAAAGCATTGTAAGAAGACTTATCCTTCAAGTAGTAAAAGATCGAATATTACTTTTAATATTGTGCACTTTGATGTGTAGGGGCCTTACCATTTACCTTGTATGGGTGGCTATAGATATTTCTTCCTATTTGTTGATGACTTTTCATGATATGCCTATATTTACCTTATGTGTTCTTGTGCTGAAGTGCCTAAACTTGTGCAACAATTCCATGAATATATACGCACTCAGTTTGATACCCGCATCAAAATATTCCGATCAGACAATGCTAAGGAACATTTTGAGAAGAACCTTACTTCCTACCTTGAGAAATTTGGGGTTGTCCATCAGAGTTCTTGCGCCCATACTCCACAATAAAATGGAGTAGCGAAGAAGAAAAACACACATATTGTGGAAGTTGTAAGGAATATTCTTTTTCCTACCCATGTACCTATGAAGTTTTGGGGTGATGCAGCTTTAACAACCACCTATCTTATTAACTATATGCCTTCTTAAGTCTTGGAGTTAAAGTCTCTTTTTGGAGTCCTTCCTAGTGTTGAGCTTTTCTCCATTCCTCTACGTGTCTTTGGTTGCACTTCCTATGTCCACATTCTCAATTCCAAGAGACTAAGTTTGAACCCAAGGCTCAGAAATGTAACTTCCTTGGGTATGCCTCCACAGAGAAAGGGTAATGTTGTTTTGATCCCATTAGTGGCATCTGGTTTGTTTCCATGGATATCACCTTTGCAGGATCAATCCCATTTTATAGTCGTCCTTCTAAGGAGGAGAGATCTCTTGAATTATTTTCTTCATCCCTTCCTTTGCCAACTCCAGTTGAGTCTTGTGTCAAGTCCTCTACAATTACCCATTCTCGTGGAGGGATACTCTCCTTTGAGGTCTTCCATTCTTGCTCCTCCCCCTCTTCCTGCTAGTCCTTCAGTTTTTATCACTCATCCTATTCTCTAGAGGTGGTACCAAGAGCAAAGGCTAAGGCAAACATAGGTTGATCCTACACCTCTAGTTGAGTCTTAGGTGCTTTTAATCACCAAAGAGAGGATAGGTCCGACATCTCCACAACTAGCACGTTCATTTCTAGACCTTGACCTACCCATTGCTCTGAGAAAGGGTAAGAGGAAATGAATAGTTCATTGCATTTCCAAACACCTTTCCTATAACTTGTTGCCCCATCCTATTATTCCTTTCTAGCCTCCATTTCCTTTTAACCCATCCTAAAGTCAGTGAGTGTAGCCTTAGCCAAACCAAAGTGAAGAGATGCTATGAGGACTGAAATAGAAGCACTCCATAAAAATAATACCTAGGATATTGTTGACTTGCCAGTTGGGAAGGAGACTGTTGGGTGTAAGTAGGTTTATGGTGATCTCAGTTTGATGTTAAGAATGCATTCCTGAATGGTGATCTCACTTAAGAGGTATATATGTCCCTTCCTCCTAGTATATATGGTAAGGAGATGCAAGGTAAGGTGTGCAGATTGGAGAAGTCACTTTATGGCTTCCAACAATCTCTACGTGCTTGGTTTGACAGGTTTAGGGCTGCTCTTGTTCAGTTTGGCTACGCTCAAACTCAATCAGATCATACTTTCTTTGTTAAGAGGAGAAATATTCTAGTTACATTTCTTATTGTTTATGTGGATGATATTGTTGTTACTAGCAATGACATAGAAAAAGTTAATGTTCTCAAGAAGTTCCTTAATTCTGAATTTGAGATTAAATACTTAGGGGAGTTGCGGTATTTTCTTGGGATTGAGGTTGCTAGGTCCAAAGAAGGTATTTTTAAGTATGTGTTGGATCTTCTTATTGAGATTGGAAAACTTGGTGCTAAACCTACCTCCACCCCTATTGATGTGAATCATAAACTCTCAGTGAATGATGGAGAACTTTTAGCTGAGAGGGGAGTGTTTCAAAGATTACTGTGGAAATTTCTTTATCTATGTATGAGTCTCGTCTAGACATTTCATACGCGGTGAGTGTAATCAGCCAGTTCATGCATGCTTCCAGAGACACACATATAGCTGCTGTAGAAAGGGTGCTATGCTATCTTAAGGGAACTCCCAAGAAGGGTATATAATTTCCTAAACATGGCCATATGAAGGTAGAAGCATATACAGGTGCTGATTGGGCAAATAATGTGGATGATAGGAGATCCACATTAGGCTATTGTGCTATGGTGGCCAGGAATATTGTTTCCTGGAGAAGTAAAAAGCAGTCAGTGGTTGCTAGATCTTCAACTAAGGCAGAGTATAAGGCTATGGCCCATGGGGTTTCTAAGTTGTTATGGCTTAGATCTCTCCTTGATGAGATGGGTGTTTCATGTCAAGCCATTGATGTTGTATTGTGTAACCAAGCTTCAATTAACAGTACTCACAACCCGGTTCAACATGACTGAACTAAGCATATTGAGGTAGACAAACACTTTATATGGGAGAGAATGGCGTCAGGAGAGGTGTGCCTTCCTTTCATTGTACCAGAAGAGTAGCTAGCAGATTTTTTAACTATGGGAGTTCCGAAGGCAAAGCTTCAACATTATATAAGCAAGCTGGGCATGATTGACATCTGTGCTTAGCTTGAGTGAGAGTGTAGTGAGAATAGGCCAAATGGGCCTTAGTGACTTTATTTCTTTTAAGTTATGTTTTAAGTTTAAGTCATTTTAGTTATAGGCCTCTATTTTTTGTTTTATTATTACTTTAGTGCTGGCCGCCCCCTTAAGGGCATCCGAGGAATTGTACTCAGTTTAGAATTAAGATAATAAAAGACATCTTGGGGGGCTAGAGAGAACAAATTCAACTCTTCTCTTCTCTCTTCCATTCTCTACTTCTGCTGAAATCTTTCTTTCTTCTTCCTTTTCTTTTTTTTTTATATTTTTTGAATTATTGTAGGTGTGTTTCACAACTATAGATAATATTAGATATGCACCTATTTTTTTATAATTTTTTTAATATTTGTATTTATATTTATTTTTAAATTTTTATTATTTGAATATGAGAAAATTGGTTGACCCATTTGATGTTGATGGTTGAACTATTTACTTGCCTCTCAGACAAAAGGGTGGTTTATTTAATTATTTTTCTTGTTGCTTTTGAACATAGATTTTACATTATTAAAAATGTTAGATATAGATTTAATTTGTATAATATATTTGGTGAGAAACAAAAATACTTCAAATAAAGTATCTAAGGAGAGAGAATGAGAATTAATATCTTAATGAGAGGACATTTAATGAAGTGGAAAGTAATAGTAAATTACATTTTTTTCATAAAAAGTTAAAGAGGGATTAAATTCACAAATGAGGGTGTTTTAGTCAAGAAAATTCCACAAATCTTATTCATTTAATGTGCCTTAACTATAAGATTTAATGAAAGGAAATGGGACTTAATAACTTAAATATAGGTCTTAATGATGGGGAATATAATGAATTTAATAAAAGTAATACAGATATAAGATTTATCATCATCTTCGCCATCGTAAATTTTGATGGGCAAATTATCCACTGAAAATATATTCATCCATGTCCTTTTCATTGTACCTCAAAACAAGATGTCATAATGAAGCAAGAAATTATGCTAGTACTCCCAAGAGTATCTCTTGTTTCATTATTGTGGTGGCATTTTTGGTTATTTTTCTCAAATTTTCAAGGCCTATATAGTTTGTCTTTGCCTTTTAGGTGTTTTAATATTAAAAACGTTTATAGTAAATTATATCAATTGTGTTATTTTAGATGCATCACAAGGAAGCCACATATTTCTTCCTAATTCAAGGTTGATAATTTCTAGTTGCATAATTGAGATAATATACCTTGCTTTATTGCCACATTTACTGTATTAAATCACATAAATGCTTTTCTAATTCTATACTTGCCAGGTTCGGCAAGTGAATCCTGATGTTCTTCTTGGGTTATCTGCAGTTGGCAGCTTGTTCTCCAAAGAGGTATAAAATGATTAAGTTGTGATAAATTAAATGTCATGGTGGATTTGCATTTGGTCTTCATAACTTCTGTTCTACAAGGCTTGTGCTTCAGATTTCCCCCCTATGAGATGTAAAAAGGTTGTGGTTAATGTTCAAAAATACTTATTTGGAAATGTAAGGTCACTATCCAATATTGGTCCCAGCTACCTGGAGTCTTAGGAGGGGTAGAATTGATAGTGTAGAGAGATTGGGCCCAATGGGCCTTAGTTCTCTTTGTTTAAATAGGTTTATTTCTGTTGCTAGTTCTGCTGTAGTGGGCCTTCTTTATGGGTCTGTTTTTATTTCTTTTTGTTTATGCTGAAGTCAACTGCCCAATTAAGGGCACTCTTGTAACTTTACACATTTTTTGTTTCAACATATATAAATCAAATGAGAGAGATCAAGTTACTTTCTTCCCTCTTCTCTTCTCTTCCATTCTCTCATCTTCTTCCTAAAGCTTGTACTGAAACTTGGTATTAGAGCAGGTTCCACCTTCACATCTTTTTTGGCTCATACATAGTGTGTATGGAGAACTGATCGGCTGATTAATTAGCAGCTTATGCAGCACAGTTGGGAGGATTTTTTGGAGAGGTTTTGGAGATTTTCATCCCTAGTTGAAGCCAAAGGCAGGTTCTTGGAGTTTTTTTCCTGAAAACATTAGATAATTGCAAAAACATAATTACAAGTTCTAGAGACACTTTGAAGCTAGCGCTTGGGGATTAAAGGGGAGTTTTTTTATTTCCTTTAACATTGATTTAGGTTGGACAGTTTTCTGGAACTTCTGGTAGGAGCATCTAACTTTCTCTCCTCCCATCTTGTTAGGTCCTGTGAAACCCTAGTTTTGGGTGGTTGAAGTTTTTGCTTTGGGTTAGCAAATCTTGATTAGTAAAGCCCTAATCTAATTTTCATTTGCATCCGTTAAGTCAATGGAGCAAATTAGAGGAGAAACCAAATATCCCACAGATTTTGGGTTTTGACATGGAGGGTCTATGGAGACTCTATTAGGAGCAGTGACCACTGGAAAGTTGGATGGAACCAATTATATGGCCTGGTCTCAGTCTATAAAGAAACATGTGTAGTAGAGGGAAATGGGGTTACATCACTGGGAGCAAAAAGAAACCTGCGGAGAATGATCCTACCTATGAGAGGTGGATGCAGGAATTACACAATAGTGGGTTGATTAGTGTTAATGATTTGATTAACACTGGTTTAGTCCTAGGTCTGAAGTAAGAAAGAAAGAGAGAAGAAGAGAAAGAAGAGAGGAGAGAAAGAAAGGGTTTGGCCAAAGAGAAAAAGATAACACTCTCTTATCCAACCGACCTTTTATTTATTGTTTGTGCATTAGAATACAAAAGACAATTATGTCCTGTATTAAGTATCGGACACACAACTTAAACACAGAAAAAATAGACAACTTACCTTTAGTTAAATGACAAAAAAACTAAACTACCCTTATGTTGTTGACTCTAACACTCCCCCTCAAGCTAATGAGTATTTATCTTATAATCCTAGCTTGTTATATACGTAATCCACTGTCCCCCGACTCAACCCTTTTGTAAATAGATCTGCCCACTGATTTCCTTAACTCACATGTGTCATACTTATCACTCCACTGATCACCTTTTCTCTTACAAAGTGGCAATCAACTTCTATATGCTTTGTTCTCTCCTGAAAAATTGGGTTAGAAGAAATGTGGATTGTAGCTCTGTTATCATAGTACAACTTCATAAGCTTGTCAATTGAGAACCCCATCTCCTAGAAAAGGTTTTTCAGCCACACCAGTTCACATGTAGTATGTTCCATGGCCCCATATTCAACTTCAGCATTGCTTCTTGCTACTACAATTTGTTTCTTGCTCTTCCAAGTCACCAAATTTCCCCCAAGGAAGGTACAATATCCTGTAGTGAATCTCCTATCAGAAACTGATCCAACCCAATCAGCATATGTATACTGTTTTATCTTAAGAGTTCCTCTATTCTTTTATAACAATCCATGACCTAGAGCTCCCTTCAAGTATCTGACAATTCTTAGAACTACATTCCAATGTGGAACCCAAGGGTGCTGCATAAACTGACTCACTACACTCACTGCAAATGATATATCTAGCCGAGTATTAGTCAAATAGTTCAACTTACCTACCAACCTTCTTCACCCGCATCAATACTTAACTTGACATTTGGTTCCATAGGTGTTTCATTCGGTTTGGCACCTAATAGTCTTGTCTCTTCCAGCAAATCAAGGACATATTTTCTTTCACACAAGTTAATACCATGTCTTGATCTTGCAACTTCTATTCCCAAAAAATATTTCAGCTTACCTAGGTCTTCTGTTGGAAGTGATCATGCAGAAAAGTCTTCAACCTATCAATTCCCATACTATCACTGCCAGTTATGACAATGTCATCTACATACACCACTAATAAGATCTTCCTAGCCTTTGATTCATAGTTGAACACAGAATGGTCTACCTGGCATTGTTTAATGCCAAAGTCCTTTACCACTTCACTGGACTTTCCAAACCATGCATATGGAGACTATTTCAGCCCATAGATTGCCTTCCTAAGTCTACAAACCTTAACATCCTCCCCCTGAGCAACAAATTGGTTGTTGCTCCATATATACTTCCTCAAGAAGGTCACCATGTAAGAAGGCATTTTTAATGTTAAGCTAAGAAAGGAGCCAATCATACATTGCTGCTAAAGGGATCAACACTCGAACTGAACCAATCTTAGCCACAAAAGAAAAAGTTTCAGTGTAGTCAACTCCATACAACTGAGAGTATCCTTTTGCCACTAATCGAGCCTTCAAGTTTTCCACATTGCCATCTAGGAGATATTTCACAATATACAACCACTTACATCCAACAACATGCTTACCAAGAGGGAGAGTCGTAAGGTCCCACATGTGATTGTGTGCCAGTGTAGACAATTCTTCCATTGCTTGGCACCACCTAGGAGAGGTAATAGCTTCTTGGACATTCTTAGGGATGGAGACAGAGGATAATAAAGATATAAACTAGAAATGGGAAGTAGAAATGTGAGCAACATAAACATAATTGGAAATAGAGTGAGAAGTACAACTACATTTTCCTTTCCACAATGCAATGAGCAGATCAAGATCAAAAGGAAGGGACAGAATTGCTAGATCCGTCGACGAGGAATGGACTGGAGGAGGAGCTAGTGCTTGTCTGTGAGTATACACTTGTGTGATTGGTAGCCTTTCAATATTAACCTACATTGGAGAAGACAACTGAGACAACAAGAACTATAGGAATGGGGTCCTCAAGTGGAACAGGAAGAGAAAACATGAGAGGAGGAACATCAAAGCTAGAAAAGAAGGGAACATATTCAAAGAAAGTGACATCTAAACACACAAATGAACGAGGAGAGCTAGAGTTGTAACATTTATACCCTTTTTGAGTTCTAGAATAGCCAAGAAAGATGCATTTTGTAGCGCATGCATCTAACTTGTCTAGTCCAAGCCCTAAATTATGTAGAAAACATACACAACCAAAAACTCTGGAGTAAGGGGAAATGAAAATAAAGTAGGAAACAAGGATGAGAAAGGTGACTAAATTCCAAGGATAGGCATGGGCATCAAATTGATGAGAAAACATGATGTAAGGACAACATCACTCTAAAAATGCTTGGGAGCATTCATATCATGTATAATGGACCGAGCAGTTTCAAGTAAATGTTGGTTCTTCCATTCAGCCACACCATTCTGTTGCGAGGGTAAGTACAAGAAATTTGATGAATTACAGTGTATTGTTCTAAATATTGTTGAAATGTTGTTGGACAATATTCTTTAGCATTATTCTGTTAAAGTGAGCCGAATAAGGGTAGTTTAGTCATCTTATCTT